CTGATCTGGGAAGACTAGTGCAGGAGACTGCGATGCAGTTCTAATATGTAATAAATCTTTAAATCGGTGAGCCATGCTCACTGGTGATTTTTCTTCCTTCCTCCCTGAGGGCTCACATGACAAAAGCCAGCATTTGCTTTTCATTCGCCTTTGGACGGTGTGTGTGTGTGTGTGTGTATAAATAAAATCTGGGGTTCACTAAATCACATCTTAAAACATAAAAATATCCACCATTATAAGAAAACCTGGCGAATTATTCTGTCAAGTAGCCTTTTATAAAGTGAAGAAACCTTTTAGGATGGAAATTACCCCCCACCCCAAGGGCTCCACCAGCTATAATAAGTCAGCATTCCTGCCCCGACCTGTAAAGGTCTATTCACCATGAATGCACTTTACTCAGTTGGCATTTTTCACCCCAGAAACACCACTTAAGCCTGTCGCACAAACCTGACAGAAGCAATACATTTTCCAAACGAACCATCCCCAGGGAAGTTCCCAAGGAGAGTATTCCTCTCCCAGATCAGGGATGCAAAATACGCCACATCCTCTCCACACACAAGCTGCCCACTCCAGAGGCAGCCTGCTCCCCTCTGCACTCCTCTCCGCTCTTCAGGCCTCCTCTCCCAGCTAAATAAAAACTAGAGAGCCTCAATCTTGGGCGGCAGCAACATTTTAATGCTATTTTAGACAACAGCTCTAAAGCACTGGAATGTTGGCTCTTTTCCATGAATAAAAAAAAACCCCAAAAGGGTATTATCATAACAAAATGATATCCTATGGAGAGCACTAGGCGCCATAAAAAATAAAATTGCCATAAATTGAAACTGTCTCGAAATTAAACCTGCAGAGGGAAGCGTTAAACCCCAGGCCAGGCAGGCTCTGATTTTCCCATCTAAAACCCTTACGTGTTCCTAGTTCCCATGAAGTCCAACGAATTTCTCCCACCCGGGAAGGCCTAAATGCTTGTTTAGAAGTCCGGGAATGTTACTTTCCCCCCTTGAAGCCTTTGAGGTCATCTGTAACATTCATCTTAAAGCTGCTGTGTCCCCAGTCACACCCAAAGATTCCCAAAGGCACGGTCTGCCGCAGCGCCCGGTGCACAGTAGGCGCCCCATTAATGTGCAGATTTGATTTGATCAGATCTGGCCCCTCGGCTAGAAAGACGCGCCGGGCGCCGGGGGAGGACGGCAGCGCGGGCCTGGCTCTCCTCTGGAGGGAGGCGGGGTGCAACCACCTGTGGGCGAGTGGCCGGGGACTCGGCCGGGGCGCCGCCACCACCCCGGGATGCCTCGGCGGCCCCGCGCACGTAGACCCGGGTAAAGTCCGGCGCGTCCAGGCCTCGTGGGCGCCCCGGGGCCGAGTCCCAGCGCCCCAGCAAGGGCTCTGCGAGCTCAAAGTTGGCCACGTCCAAGCGAGTCGGTTCTAGAGTTAGCTCCCAAATCGCCCAACCCCCTGCGAGTGTGCGAGCCTTGA